TCATGTCATTGACCAAAATTTACAATGCAGCAGCTCCCCTCCCACTTCCTCCCCATAGTTACCTCCTCCCAGTGTCCATCCCTTCATACTCTTCATCTCTACCTATTTTTAAATTGAGTAATAACATACGCAAAGGAGTCCTGGTGGCACAGTGATTAAATGCTTGACTGCTAACAAAAAGGTTGGCAGTTCGAACCACTGGAAAAAGATGTGGCAGCCTACTTCCATAAAGATTAAAGCCTTGGAAACCCTATGGGTTATTTCTCCTCTGTCCAATAGGATTGCTGAGTTGGAATCTACTTGATGTCAGTGGGTTTTGGTGGTGGGTTATCCACTGATGTAACCACTATCTAGATCAAGATACAGCGAGAGCATTTACAGCATCCCAGGCATCTCCTCATGCCCCTATTCCCAATCAATAAACTGTCCCTGCCCCCATTAATAATGATTATTTTGAGTTATATCACTATAGGTACGTTTTTCCTATTCTTAAACCTTAAATAAATGGGATCATACAGTATATATTGTATTGTTTGGTGGAAGTTGTGTTTAACCTTCTTTCCAAATAGAAACTTGAGGAGAAGCTAGAGTTCTGGATGGAGAAATTTGATAAGGACACAGAAATGAAACAGAATGAACTAAATGCTCTCAAAGCTGCAAAGGCCAGTGACTTGGCACACCTTCAAGACCTTGCAAAGATGGTAAGGAAGTAGAGCCTTGATAGTGTGAAGCTACTCATTGAGGAGTGAGTGGTAGTTAAGCTACAGTAGTTGGGTTGTTGTTGTTGTTAGGTGCCGTCAACTCATCTCCAACTCATAGCGACCCTATGCACAGCAGAACAAAATACTGCCTGTTCCTGCACTAGCTGCGTGATCCCTGCTATACTTGAGCCCATTGCCACAGCCACTGTGTCAATCCATCTCATTGAGGGCCTTCACCTTCTTCATCGATCCTCTACCTTACCAAGCATGACATCTTTCTCCAGGGAATGGTTCCTTCTGACAACATGACCAAAGTAGGTGAGAGGAAGTCTGGCCATTCCTGCTTCCAAGGAGCATTCAGGCTGCACTTCCTCCAGGACAGATCTGTTAGTTCTTCTAGCAGTCTGTGGTACTTTCAACGTTCTTTGCCAGCACCACATCTCGAAAGCATCACTTCTTCTTTGCTTTCAGCAAGCAAAGTTGTGTTGTCAGCATATCACAAGTTTTTAATGAGCCTTCCTCTAATCCTGATGCCACATTCTTCTTCATATAGTCCAGCTTCTCAGATTTGCTCAGCATACAGATTGAGTAAGTATGGTGAAAGGATACAACCTTGACACACTCCTTTGATTTGAAACCATGCTGTGTCCCCTTGTTCTGTTCGAACGACAGCCTCCTAGTCTATGTACAGGTTCCTCATGAGTACAATTAAGTGTTCTGGAATTCCCATTCTTCTCAATGTTATCCACAATTGTTATGATCCACACAATCAAATGCTTTTGCATAGTCAATAAAACACAAGCAAATGCCTTTCTGGTATTCTTTGCTTTGAGCCAAGATCCATCTGACATCAGCAATGGTATCCCTTGTTCCACGTCCTCTTCTATATCCAGCCTGCACCTCTGACAGTTCTCTGTCAATATACTGCTGAAACCACTTTTGAATTATCTTCAGTAAAATTTTACTTGCATGTGATATTAATGATACTGTTTGATGATTTCCACATTCTGTGGGATCACCTTTCTTTGGAATGGGTACAAATGTGGATCTCTTCCAGTCAGTTGGCCAGGTAGCTGTCTTTCAAGTTTCTTGGCATAACCAAGTGAGTGCCTCTCGTGGCGCATCGTTTGTTGAAACATCTCAGTGGGTATTCCGTCAATTCCTGGAATCTTGTTCTCTGCTAATTCTTTCAGTGCAGCTTCGACTTCTGCCTTCAGTATCATTGGTTCTTGATCATGTGCCATGTCCTGAGATGGATGAAGACCTACCGGTTCTTTTTGAACAGTGACTCTGTGTATTCCTTCTATCTTCTTTTGATGCTTCCTGCATCATTCAATATTTTGCCCATAGAATCTTTCAGTATTTCAACTCGAGGCTTCAATTTTTTCCTCAGTTCTTCCAGCTTGAGAAATGCCAAGCGTGTTCTTCCTTTTTGGTTTTCAAACTCCAGGTGTTTGCACATTTCATTATAGTAATTGGCTTTGCCTGCTTGAGCTGCTCTTTGAAATCTTTTCAGCTCTTTTATCTTGTCATTTCTTCCATTTGATTTAGCTACTCTCCAAGCAGGGACAAGTTTCAGTCTCTTCTGACATCCATTTGGGTCTTTTCTTCTTTTCTCATCTTTTTCATGACCTTTGCTTTCTTCATGGATGATGTTCTTGATGTCATCCTACAGTTCTTCTGGTTTTCTGTCACTGGTATTCAATGCATCAAATCTATTCTTTAGATGGTCTCTAAATTCAGGAGGGATATATTCCAGGTCACATTTGGGCTCTTGTGGACTTGTTTTAATTGTCTTCAAGTTGAACTTGCATATAAGCAGTTGATGGTCTGTTCCACAGTCAGCTCCTAGCCTTGTTTTGGCTGAAGCTTATTATTATATTGAGCTTTTCCATGGCCTCTTGCCACAGATGTAGTCAATCTGATTCCCATGTACTCCATCTGGTGAAGTCCATGTGTATAGCTGCCATTTGTGTTGGTTGAAAAGATGTATTTACAATGAATAAGTCGTTGGTCTTGTGAAATTCTATCATGCGGTATCTCCAGCCTTACTTCTGTAACCACAGCCAAATTTTCCAACTACTGATGATTCTTCATTTCTAACGTTAGCATTCTAGTCACCAATGATAATTAACACATCTTGATTGCATGTTTGGTCAATTTCAGACTGCAGAAGTTGATAAAAATCTTCAATTTCCTCATCTTTGGCTTTGGCGGTTGGTGTATAAATTTGAATAATAGTCATATTAACTGGTCTTCCTTGTAGGCATATGAATATTATCCTATCACTGACAGCATTGTACTTCAGGACAGATCTTGAAACATCCTTTGTGATGATGAATGCCACGCCATTCCTCTTAAAATTATCATTCCCAGCATAATGGATCATATGGTTATCTGATCGAAAATGGTCAAAACCAGTCCATTTCAGCTCACTAATGCCTAGGATATGATATCAATCTTTATGTGTTCCATTTCATTGTTGACAACTTCCAATTTTCCCAGATTCATACTTTGTACATTCCATGTTCCTATTAATGGATGTTTGTAGCTGTTTCTCCTCATTTTGAGTCAGGCTACTTCAGCCAATGGAAGTCTTGAGAGCTTTACTCTCTCTGTTTCAGTAAGTTTGGTCCTACTCTGATGATGCAGCTCTTCCCTAGTTGTAGTTTGAAAACGTCTGACCTTAGGGGCTCATCCTCTTGCACTGTATCGGATAATGTTTCTGGGCTATTCATAAAGTTGCCCAGTAACGTATCAGTGTTTCTCCGCTATTCGTAAGGTTTTCCCTTACCAGTTCTTTGAGAAGTAGATGGCCTCTTCCTTCTTCCAGGTCTGTCTCAGTCTGTAAGCTGCATTGAAACCTGTGCATCATGTGCAACTCTGCCAGCACTTGAAACACAGTGGCACAGCCTCAAACCTCATAGCAACATGCAAGCCACAATAGTACGACACACTGACAGACAAGTTTGTCTCACTTAGCTGTTAAAAACCTCTCCACCCTCCCCTTACCTGGATGCCTGGCTGCTGCGCTGCTCTGTCATCCCTATGTGAATATAATGTTAATAAGTACCTGGGTAATGCAGTTTTAATCACAGACTGGAAGTGGGCCTGTAAACCAATGGGATATTTTACATGATAATCACAACAGCTAACACTTATGTAGTGCTCACTCTGTGCCAGGCACTCTCCTTGCATTCTACATATAACCCAGTTAACCCACAACAACCCCTTGAGATAGGACTGTTATTATTACTTCTTTATGATCTCTGAAGACAATTTGTAAATGATGATTTTCAAAAAGCTTCTGATTGTGAATTCATCATTACATCAGTGTAGAACTCCCCAAATTTTTCTCATAAAAAGATGGTTGCTATTGATGTATACATTCACTTTTTTTTAAAAAAAATCACATTATTTGGGGGTCATAAATCTATCCGTCATTGAGTCAGTTATTATAACATTTTATGGAAGATCTTAAAACTTAAATTTGAATCACTCAAAGTGAAAAAATTCCAGGAACAAGTGAATATGATGTTAATATGTGAGTATTTACAGTCTTGGAATCCAGTTTTTCTTTTTTTGGTTCTTCTTTAGATTTGGCATGCTCTATTGTAAATTTTATATTAAAATGCAGGGCTGGCCAGCCCACAGAGTACTATAACATATGATTAATGTCTATCTTTGCAGCTAAGAGAGTATGAACAGGTCATCATGGAGGATCGGATAGAAAAGGAGAAGACCAGGAAGAAGATACAACAGGATGACTTGGAATTAAGGAGCGCCTTAAAGGTAGACAGCCATAACTGGCACCTTGGGCCCTGTCAGTGCCACAGCTGGCTTCTCTCTGAGGAATACAGCCAGTTCTCATTCACGATCAACCACATAAGCAGTTTACCCCAGAACAGCTCTGGGAGGAAGCACAGGCTTTTATTATTGGGATTTGCCAATACAGTCCATGGTGCAGGGAGAGTATAACCCATCTCTTAATCTGGGGGGAGGGGGGAGGGAAGACTAAGTGGTTAGGAGTGGAAACAAAACCTAGAACTTGTGCCAGAGGTCAAATTTAAGTATACCATTTCTAACCCAAAACAGCACTTGACCAAATGATCCTTTTTACTGTTATTGTGTCTTGTTGTTGTTGTTAAGTGCCGTTGAGTTGTTTCTGACTCATAGCGACCCCATGCACAGCAGAACGAAACACTGCCCAATCCTGCACCAGCCCCACAATCCCTGCTATACTTGAGCCCATCATCGCAGCCACC